TTGAGGGAAATATGACGATGGTTTTTGAGTGACAGCAGCGCGGCAACACCTAATTCAATTTAACAATTCATTTATCATAATCAGGCATCAAGCCGTTGTCACTCACAATTACGATCAAGCCGTAGTGAAGGCGCAGAAAAAAGGCCAACAAAAGGACGCCAGGAATCTTCCCCTCAATCTTTTCCTTGCCGTTCTTCTTCGGTGTCGCCTGATTGCCCCGCGCTACTCGTCTTACTCTTCCTCATCGTCATCCTCATTGTCCTTTTGGTCGTCAGTCCTCAGCCTTCCTGTCTCCGTCGCTTCCTGCCAGCCTGCCTGGGATTCGCTATCTGTCACTTGGCTGCCAGCGGTGCAACGCAGCACGAAGTCCAACCAGTCGGCGGCGAAACAGCCAACAACTCATTGTCAGTTAAATGTTGAGAGCTACTCACATTTTAAATGAGACAACAGCGAAACAGCTGCGAGGCCCAAACGACTGGCAGGAGACAGGAGAAAATCGAGAAAATCCATATCAGTCGAAACCGTTGCAGGTACCAAAGATATGTGCCGCATAAATTATGGAATAATGCTTTATCCAAAATAATCTGATAAAGATAATAACTATGATAATTAATTATAATATTACAATAAAATGTAATTCATTAATTTAAATCTTACAATTAATAAATGCATTAATTTATATATTTTTTTAGGAGCTCTAAAATCATAAAAATATTTTTGTAGCAACCAATATGTCACAATTTGGGTTTCTAAGAGATCTTCGCCCAAAATGTCCTCACTTATTCGGTGTACGTAAGCCAGCACATGTGCATATTACACATTTCGTGTTGCATTTCTCTTTGCTCAACTGCCACTTCCACTGGCCATTAATTTAACGGCCAGCAGCAGTGACAGGGGAGGCACCCAAGCGGCCCCTTGTGTTACGTTGCAGCGTTACGTTACGTTAGTACCCCCTTTTCGACGTCCCTGCCCGGTCTCCGTGTGCCACTATCTGTTTGGGTCGTAGTCGCAGCACCCCCAGTCTCGCTCCCTTCGAGCCCTTTTCGAGCTGTCAGCCAACAATGCTTTCACTGTCAGAAACAGCAGAGTTGTTGCTGCTGCTGTGCAATTTGTTATACGTTGCAATTGTTGTTGCTGCCGCCGTTGTGGATTTTTATAACAATTTCTACCATATTTCCACTCTTCTGTAGACTGAAGACGTGGGCGGGGTGAATGGGGCATATAAGGATGGTCACATGTCAACAACAACGATGCATTCTGACAGCCCAATGACATTTTCTACATTTTCGTAAATTGCTTCGATTTGTTTGGGAGCCTTGTTGTTGCTGCCATCGCGGGTGTGTTATATGACCGAAAGCGAAATGGGTCCCCACTGCGTTGTGTAATGGCAACATGGGAGGGATGTGACATCCACGTGCACATATTTATTTATATAGATTTTTTATCGGCTGCACATTTTTGCAAACGCGGATGAGGAGCTTTGTGAACCTTTAAGTTCGTCTTTGGGCACCATTGATTTTGGGGGCAATCTTTATAAATTTTATTATTAGTTTTCACATTTTTCCCAAAACTCTTTCATCACTTTTAATATCAACGACTTCCTCCCCATTTATGTTTTTATTATAGTCATAAATTCTCATTAAATGTAGATATTTGGTACATTTACTTACACAGTTCTCTTTTATGTTAATTCGATTTGATGGCTTTTTTGAATATGTATGTTTATAAATTTCAGCTGGCTTCTATAATGATCTACACGCGCCCACCACATTAACCCCATTGCAAGCGTTTGTTTCGGCTATAAAATATGAGCCAACACGGCACTTAATTCTCAACGAAGCATTCTTTGCAACAGCCCCTTGCACTGAAATTAAGGCTGTCAAAAGTATGCTGAATGCGTTCTATAAATACACTTTAAACATATTTTAATTCCCAAGAAAGCTGAAATACACTGAATATTTTAGATTTTAAATCTTTCTTTACTGTCAATTGCCTACGTTCATAATAAGTTAATTTAGAACATCTTTCTCAGTGCACAAGTGCAACAATGTTGCTTGCCATTGTGTTTAGCAATAGCCTTTGAGGTTGTGAGGTTGTGAGCTTGTGCCAAATTGAATGGATCATAAAGCAAAGACACAATAAACGCAGCATGCGCGATTTGCAGAATAACTCTTGGATGACCGAGAGTACAGTCCCAGTACCTTGCGAAAAGTTCTATTTAATAATATTATATATGCATGGCCAGGCCGTCAGACTAATTGACTCATAAATTAGCCAAAGGACGTGGACCCCCTAATCCTCCGACGTTTTCGCTTTTATAAAATCTTGACAAATTCACCCGCATGTCTGTGACACTTGGACATCAAGCACGGGGTCTGAGAAATCATGATGGGAACTGCGACAGACAGTGACACAAAGTGCATTTGACAAATGACATTTCACAGACTGCCAGACACACACAATCCCAAGGGTTGATATTCAAGGGAGGGCGACGGGCGGGAGGGCAGGGACCACATTCTGGGGGCCCATCAAAACCAAAGTGTTTTTAAGTGAATTAGTTTCCTCTGATTTTTTCCTTTAAGTGCCCTTTGGTGGGGTAGCGTGATTAGAGAAAGGAATTGGGCTTAAAATAATTAAATTTATGCTATCTTTTTATATTCCCTTTACCGTGAGTAGATCCTTATAATACACATAAGAAACATTAAGAAAAAGATACTATTGCAAATATATTTCATAACTAATTCTATGTTAACCTTGGTTTATAAGGCATTTAATATTCGTTGATTATATTTTTTTTGTTAATGGACTGCTTACAAGTACTTTGTGCTCCCCTCAAAAATATATATTTCTTATTTTTATGAAGTTTTCGGTTTTTTTCATTCTTTTATAAGCTTTTCGCCGTTCAGCGATTCGCATTGCCATCACCGTCGTCTCCTTCGCCGAAAAGAAGATCTCAATTTCCACTTCAATTTGTCTGCTGTCACTGGTAATTGAGTTCAATTTACAATAATATGCTCCGACGTTCGTGCGGCTGAGCGCCAGCTGGGAGGCAGGGACATCCAACCAGATGAAGCGGGCGGTGTGGCAAGTGTACGAATGTCTTGCGATTGCAATTTGTACCCGCTGACTCCGGACTCCCGACTCCACAATACATACTCCCCGACCCCTGGGATTCTAAAGTCACCGCGGCATCTCTTTGGGGGTCAATGGCGGTGGTCAGGGGGTTCAACAGTTTTCAATCGAGGGGGCGTGACAGCCAGAGGGGTGGAATAGAAATTGTAATTGATGCCTTGGATATTGATGGCACTTGGTGGATTTGAAGAGGTTTGCATTACAAGAACAGTTAGATTATTCAATGGATGGGCGTTATTCCTACATTTATATTTGGCATTGTTCTGAAAAAAATGTTATGACAAGGACTGCCAAATTTAAATCAAATACGGGTATTAACAACTATGATTTTTTTTGATATTTTTTAAGTCTTCATTTATAAATTTTAGCTATATGCATTTCTCTAATTCCTCTACTTTTTACTATTTTGTTTAATTATTAGTTTAATTACAATGGCGGTTATTTGCCAGCCAATTCCGTTAAGAAAAGGAAGTTTAGGGCAGTTACAATGTTACGTTTCCTGGACACCAAATAATAAACCCTTTGTTATCGCCAAGTCGTTGCCCACTTCACTGAATGGGTAAAATTTTTGCAAACTTTTCAAATAAAGCCAAAGAAATCTACGAAGACCTTAGCAGGGGGCTGGGGAACAGGGGTTGCTAAGCTGGTTTCGGGTTCATGCATAGAGCATAATAAATCTTTTTAACGAAAACAATAAATCGCATTTCACGCATACTCTAACACGGGCCCAAACACACAGATACCGGGGAAGCCAAAAATAATAATGGCAAGACCTAGAAACGGCTGGGAAAAGAGAAGCAAAAGGAGCCCGGCTAAGAGCAGCGAAGGTAAACCCTTTAGCCCGAAGAAAATTGTAGAATTTATGCATTGGGTGGAGGAATTCTCGCCGAGAGACAACGAAAACCCATGGGCCAAGTAATTTCTCAGCGTGAAGCAGTCAGCGAGTTTCCTCTTTAGAAAAAAAAAAACACTTAGTGCAATTTTTATACTCTGGGAGAGGGTAGTTTTCACTTGTCGAAAACGTAAAATTTTAGGACTTTAAAAATTACGATGTTTTAAATTTTTAGTGGCAATGTATTAATTAAATTTTTCATTTTAAAAGATGTTGAAACATAACCATGTAAATAATAGTAAAGTAGTATTTAGTGGCGGATCTAGGATTTTGTTGTGGGGGGTGATATAAGAACAAATTTTTTGTTGCATACTTTTTTAATACCAAAATTCGTTCCATTTTTCACCCGAGTGGGGGTGATATATCACCCATATCACCCCCCGTGGATCCGCGCATGGTAGTATTGGTTTTCTATATTTCTATAAATTTGTACTTATTATTTTATTTAATTACTCGTATATTTCTTTAAGTTATAGCAATTTCAAAACCGCATAAAATATTTATCTATATGGAGCTATTTCTCGAAAAGGTACACGGTATTCCAAAAGAGTGACTCCTGTCATTTAGGGTTTTTACCTATCCAAGTGCGGCAGTTAGCCAGTGTGAGTGTGATTACACCTACTTGAAGTCATATATCTTTCACTTTGCGCTTTCAACAGTTTGTGACGTCGTCTCCGTCTACACATTTATCCTCCACTCCACTCGAGGGGGCGGTTAACAAAAGCTCTTTGATATACCGCCAGCAACTCGACGCGACTCGACTTTCGAGACATGCTACCAACACTTGAGCCCTATATGTATATATACCATACCATACCCTCGCCTCATTTGCTGCTGCCTCTGCCTCTGCCCGAAAAGCTCAGAAGTGGGCATGTCAGCGAAAATCACCGTAAATTTTCCGCATTGTTTAAAATTTATTACACTTTCAGATTTGCCAACGAACCGCACCGAACGTGGAGCGCAAGATGCCTGACTGGGGGTGTTGGTGTGGTTGATGAGGAAGTCGTTCGGGGCACGCCCTTTGTTTGCCGGGGTTTCTCCGGGGCCGCCTGCTATCTCTGACATGTTGCTGTCTAATAAGTGTAACCAGTAATTTTCTTATCACTTAACCTGACTCATGTACCTACCACCTCCCACCCTACAAACACATGGGACCTTCCTTGACTGTTTTAATTTGAATATTTAAAAATCAAACTACATTTTTTGTATGTGCCTGAAAGCTAAAATAAAGTGCTTAAATAGTTGTTAATAGAGCTTTTATAATAAGAATTAAATAGTACAGTTTAAAACCAAATCAATAGATCCAAATCCAAATCCAATTTTAATTATTATCAGCATACATAGTAAAGAAGAACACTTAACTATAATTACGATATATAATTACTCTGTTCACTTATTTTAAGTACCATTGTTGTCTATTTTATGGGTCGATAACTTCTAACTATTTTCCCGCACTCCACTGGTTTTATATCTCATTATATTCCGCAAGTTGTGCACCGTTTTTTACAACATTTATCGATCTTCGGTGAACGTAAGTTTTACAATTTCCTGAATGCTCAAAAAAAATTGTTACCAAATCACTTTTAATGGAGCATTTAAAAGTAATTTTAAGTTTTATCAGCACATTATAAAAAAAAAGTTTGTCAACTGTGTGTATAATAACACTGTGCAACATTTTTAGGGTTATAAAATGTAACCGCAATTCTGATTTCATGGGCGGAAAGAACTCATCGAAATAAGCTAAAACCCATTTGGGTTTCTGTGGCTTAGCTCGCGTTTACCTATTATAGCGAGTTAAAGTTTTACATACAAAATTTATTTGTAACGGCCATATCTTGTAAACCGATTAAAATTTCACTTTCAAGTCTTCAGTGATTATGTAGCTATGAACCCAAGGAACTAAATTGACAAATGACTCTTGCGCACTTAGCCCCTAGTGCACCTAGCGCGTTAAAGAACAAATTTGCCTAATTTTTCGATTTTTAACGCGCTAAGTGTACGTCTTCGCAAGAGTCATTTGTCAATTTAGTTCCTTGGGTTCATAGCTACATAATCACTGAAGACTTGAAAGTGAAATTTTAATCGGTTTACAAGATATGGCCGTTACAAATAAATTTTGTATGTAAAACTTTAACTCGCTATAATAGGTAAACGCGAGCTAAGCCACAGAAACCCAAATGGGTTTTAGCTTATTTCAATGAGTTCTTTCCGCCCATGAAATCAGAATTGCGGTTACATTTTTCATGTTGCACTGTGTAATAAGGCACCTTTGTTTCTAAATAAATGTATTCTCTCCACACATTTTGTTTATTGTTACTTATGCTTTCCGCAGTCAAATCATTCAGCTTCCTTTCAAATGAGCTTCGGATATAAAAATATACAATCAGTTGTGATCATTGTGATCCTCTGTGTTATTATGGAAGTAAGCAGAATTTAAGATAGAATAAAATACACAACGTGAATTGTTTCTGTCAATTTATTATTTATTTTTGGAGTAGATCACCTCTCATGTGGAGTTTACCAACGTCAAATGCACTTCATCCGACGTTAAGTTCGTTAATTATGAGGTCTGCCGTTTAAAGTCTGTGAACAGGACCTACAAATATGTTTCTGTAAAATCGAGACTTTACAAGCTACCGATTACCAATGCCACAGTTCGTAATAAAAACCATTTACAAAAAAAAATAAGTGTTCATCAGAATCTTGTGCTTCCAGATCAACATTTCACTGTTCAAGCGACTAAATGGCTATAAACCATTCCTCTACAATGTTTCTGTGGATGCTTGTAGATTTTTGCAGATTCAGAAATCCAACCCTGTCGTGAAATATCTTTTTAATTTGTTCCTCACTCACTCAAATGTAAAAAATCCAAGTTGTCCTTTCAGTGTAAGTACGAACACAAGAACCTTTTTATGTCATGTCAAAATATGTTTGTTTCAGCTTTCTTATGTTACTGTGGATAAGCTTACTACTAACTTTCTGAATAATCAGTTTTCGAAGGTTTTGCCAGTTCCTGAAGGCGACTACCTGTTTGTATTCAAATGGTTCTCCGATAACATTTATCGTTCTTCGGTTAACGTTTATTCAACAATTTCTTGAATTAATAAAACTTTTTATTCATACATTTTAAACCATTTTTCATTTTAGGTATGTTTACTCTAGTTTTACGTTTTGTAAAAAATTGTGTTACAAAATCACTTTTAATAGAGCATTTAAAAGTAATTAAAAGTTTTATCAGCATACAATTTAACCAAAAATTAAGCTCTAAGTGTATCATAACATGGGAGTTTAATTACTAAATACATATAATTATTTCCTTCACCCATTTAGTTTATAGTTAATTTTTTGGATGGGTCACTATTGACCGAGTTTTCCGCAGTCTACTGATTCGCAGTCGTTTAAAATGGTCTTCGGATGTAAACAATGCGTGCTAATCGTTGTGATCCTTTGTGTCATTGCAGAAGTAAGTATTATTTAATTAATAGGACAACAAGCAATACAGAGTGATTTATGCACAAATTTAAAATGTACCTTTATCTTTGTTTTAGATCGCCTCTAGAGTGGAGTTCAGCAACATCAAATGCACTTCCCATGACCTTGAGTTTGTTGCCTATGAGGCTTGCTATTTAAAGTCGGTGAATAGGACCTACAAATATGCTACTGTGAAATCGAGATTGCTTAAACTACCCATTACCAATGCCATAGTTCGTATATAGACAATTTTTTAGATTCACGTTTTCATTTAAAACATGTTATTTTAGATCAACATCGCATTGTTCCAGAGATTAAATGGCTATAAGCCATTCCTATACAATGTTTCCGTAGATGCCTGTAGGTTTTTAAAGACGAAAAGATCGAACCCTGTCATCACATATCTTCTTAATTTGTTTGTTCGTCACTCAAATTTGTTAAATACAACTTGCCCTTATAAGGTAAGTCCGCCAAGATTTTCTGTAATAAGCCCATATCTGCAATATTTTTTTTAGCAGCCGTATATTAATGTGGAAAAGCTTACTGCCAGCTTCCTGAATAATCAAATGACAAATGTTCTGCAGTTTCCTGAAGGCGACTATCTTTTTGAAAGCAAATGGTTTAATAATAAAACTCACCGATCTACGGTGAACGTATATGTTACTATTAACTCCTAAGTTGCATAAATATAAATGTTTTAAAATATATGAAAACTCATATTATATTTTTACTTCCCTTTTTATTTGGCATCTGAATTTAATCAAAGAAAAAACCCTTAAGTGAAATGAAAACTATCGAAATATTCTTTAATCAAAGCAAAGTTTATTGAAGTCAGTCAGTAGGATATAAACTACGCCTTTATAAAAACGAGAATATTTATTTTAGCCATTAACAATGCCACAGTCCCTTTAAAACATTCTAATTAAATTATAATTATATACACTCTTTTTAGTGAAACAAAAATACAAAATACTTCAGTGTGTACCACATACTATTTTTAAATAAATAAACGGGGGTTTTTACAATTTGAAATTGTTAAATATATTTTACAAAGCTTTTTTGCCACTTCCTGGATGTGCTAATATTTATGACAGCATAGACCCATTTTAAGTGATAAATTTACAAATCGGATACATAAATATTTAACTAAATACTAATGCCGTAATGTTATCCCATAAGCCGGCAGAGTGGCTGAGTATAATTTATGCATAATTTTCGGCTAATCCATATTTCATGTCGGACAACTGCATTGGCTTGTGGACAAACTCTGCGCTATCAAAAACATCCTGTTTTTGCGGAAAGCCCATTTATAAAATATATAGAGCCACGGCTATGTGTGCCCAATAGATAGGGGTGAATAAAAAAGAACTAAGCCAGAACCATACTCGAATTTCGAGTCTAAGCTCCGACTGCATCCGCTTGTAAATCATATTAAAATATTTATGCTGCCGCCCGACGTTTCCCCCGATGTTGCATTATTTTTTGCCGTTTGCTTTTCACATTTTGTTGGGCCACCGATAAATTGTGAACAAATGACATTATGCACATGTGCTCCGGTATCTGTGTATGTGCGGTTTATTTAGTGCATTTAGATAAAGCGAGCGAAAATGTCAACTTTTGCGACTATTTTTCGTGTTCGTAAGTTTGTCGGTACTCGGCACTGACACTGCCACACTGCTACTGCAACTGGCTGCAATTATCGTGCAACAAATCATGGCAACAGTGGTTATTGTTGCTGCCGCCGCCGTAGTTTATGGCATTAGTTGTGTTAATTTATGTCCCATTTATGAAATATTTACAAATTTTTCAGCTATTATTTCTGCAGCGCAGATTTCTCACACCCACTGCCCGATCCGCCTCCCTTGGCTACTTTTTGCCTTATCGCCATGGCACAAAAATAAAATATATTTTGTAAACCATTTTTCAGCTCAATTCAGTGGGGATCGGTTCGGATCTGTTCGTTTCGGTTGGGTTATTTATGAGATTTTGGCTGCCCGCTCTCTATGACCTCCGCCGGATGTTTAGTCGCAGTCACTTTTGTTGTTTGCCAGCGGAGGTTGGGACTTATAATATTTATTAAAATTATGCATACGATTTGGCGTTTAATTTATGTAATGACGGTTAAAGAGAGAGTCGGTTCCATTGAGTGGCTGGACAATGCATGTGTCATTAGTCCTAAAACCAGTGTCTGAATAATTAATATCAATTGGCTGAAATTTAAGGGATGACTAAATGGATGGGAGGGAATAACTTTATTTTTAGAAAATAAATGTAAAATATAAATATTTTAATATATAATCGGTATTACTTTACTTGTATAGAGTTTGATAAAAGATCTTATTAAGAACCCAGAGTAGCTAGCCTGCGTCATATATCTCCTGGTCTTCGTTGTCTATAACTCCACTCGTTCTACAATCGATTTCTCATTACACAAAACACATTTTCCAATTTATCTTCCATCGCAACTTATCAACCATTGACCGAGTCCAGACTTGGCAAGACCAGAGCCAGTGTCACAACAATCTCCTATCGATTCCCAGCACAATTGCGCTTGATTAAGATGCTGATGGTGCCCCCTGGCCACCTCGCTGGCTCTCCCATTTGCTGGCTGTTGTGTAAATGTTTGTGTTATTGATTAATTACATTTACAACAATCAAAGTTCATTGAGTGATACCAATCAAAACAACGCCAGCGAACATTGGAGGCTATGCAGTGCGATGCAATGAATCTTCAAGTTGAAGTGGCGGGCCCAAATGGACATGGAGCGATCGGAATGAATGGCTGACTGAATGACTGAGTGACTGAATAACTGACTGAGTGAGTGACTGAAAGAGCGGAGAACATGTCTAATGTGGTGTTGCCCCTTGCTGGCTGATTGCTGCATGTTCGGCTTGTCGCTGCTTGTAAGGCATTTGTCTGTTTTGGGCTCCGCGTTGCTTTGATCTTATTTCTTTCTCCTATTTTTCTTCTTTTTTTTTGATCTTCACTCGCTTTGATTGATCAATTAAATTCATTTGTAAACAACTTCTTGCCGACGATGACGCGGCATAAAGAGTACAGATGTATTCCCCATCGGAGGAAGACGGCGTCCTCAAAGAGCGGCGAAGATTTATTTGGTTTTCTATTTTTACGCGGGAGTCGGTCGATCTGCGGGCCGACGGTTAAAGCCACAACAAACGCATCCCGCTGATAATAATTACCAGATGATTTGGCCTATCCGGATAAATTGGTTTTGAGGTTGCAGCTTGTAGCAGGAATTTTTAAATTTGATCGATGCATTTTTAGATTAATATTTATCAGAAGGCTATGTATTTTATTTTTCCTTCATGCTTACAGTAATTTCTGCCACTGTGCTGTTGGCCATGTACTGCAAGTTTATCGTACATTTTTATAGCTGTCAGTGCGTTGGCTGTCAAGTGTCAAAAACATTTGCAGCTTGCAACGCGCCAAATGCAAAATGCAAATGCACTTACGAACGTCTCTCGCCAAATGCCTGACAATGACAGGCCAACAGAAGAAAATACAGAGATATATGTATAAAAAAGTGTGCGACTTGGTCGACGGATTCGCATTGTTCGCCAGATATGTATTACACAAGTCACAGGCAGTCAGCATAACAGCAGTTGGGTTTTACAATAGTTCCTCGTGTTCGAGCAGGGGCACACACATGACTAACCCACCAACTGACTGACGGACTGACTGACTGACTGACTAACCGACTAACCGAACGTATAGTAATGATGATAATGACGGTGCCGCGGGGTTGATGATGCTCTGACATTGCCTGACGCCTTGATTAAACTGTCATTTAACTTCATTTATTTTGACATAAAACTGACAAGAGACCCCCATTCTAAGTGGCAGCTTATTCAATTTTGCACACCCGTCAGCGAACAAAGAGTATTCAATGAAATAAAATTAAATAATATTTATTAGGTAGTCGCAGTCTCGTAGTCGCTTGCGAATTCAATATGCAAACCCCGATGCGGTCATCAGAGATTGCATATTCCGATGGGTTACCCGATCGCAAATCAAAGTAACAAATCAATTCCACTCATCCGCAAGTCAGCCCAAGAGGAGGCAACTCATTTATGCTAAATAACAAGTGATTAAAGTTCGTTTTGCGCCGATATAAAGCTGTCACTAAACATAAATTACAATATGTCAGTCTCGAGAACCTTTGACTTTTATTAATGTAAACATGAAAAGCAACACGCACGCCGAACCTCCGAACGAGCGCACAACAGCTACAACATGCTGACACTGAAAGCCGAGATAAGTTACCCAGGCGCACACACCGGGTCTCAAGACCCCGTCTCAGACTCAGGCCCCAACCTAAGCCCAGAGTTCCCGAGTCCCAGACCCAAGGCCCCAACTCCCAGACCGACCGAGCTCCACTTGGCAACCAACGCTGACAGGCAAAAGTTTTGTCCGAGCGTCGAGCTGTGGGTTTCTTATTAAAGAAACCAATGCGCAGCGGCGCAAAGAAGATGCAACACTTGAGGCTGGCTAGGAGTTGGATTATGGAATAACCGCCTACAGGCTTCACCTCTTATATTGCCATTACTTCTGTATTTCTGAACTAACATATTAACAAAACCATCCATAGTTTATAAAAGAAAATAGTTCTAAAAATAATATCAATAATTTTTAGTTGGTAATATCTGTTATTAAAAAATATTAAAGCTTATACTTTGATCATATTTAATTTAATGGTTGAGAAAAAAAAATAATTTTAAGACGTAAACATTTTTGTTAAATGTTTTTTATAACTTAAGAAAATTTTATTACTATGGAAACCCGTTTTAACCCTTTTTATGTGGTTTATAACCTAATAAAAGTTTATAAAAACTTAATAAAATACAAATTTTTCATTTACATTTGAAATTTATTTTTATGTTTTGAGGTCTGGAATCTGCACTCCTATTATAACCATATTTTCCTTCTTAGCAGGTTTTACTGTACCAACCGCCCCTCCCTGCTCATTTCGCATTCATCCGGCTACACCCAGAGAAATGTGGGACTATTTTTTAGGTAATGTATGACCTAAAAAATTTTCATAGACTAAAATTTCAGATTTAGGTAATGGGTTACCTTAAAATATTAGCATGTGGACTATGTTCCTACTTTTTAGGTAAAGCTAAAGAGATTTTTATAGGCCATCGTAACCTTAAAATTGGTCCATAAGACCTAAAATTTAGGAATAGTTTGAAGTCGATTATTACTCACAATTTAATACAAATATTGGTCCTTAATATTAATAAACAATTTTTTCGGTTTTTTAAGTTTATTATTAAAAATTTGTATTAGACTTATCTTAAAGCTAGTGATGGAAAAGTTTCAATATATAAACTCAATACCAACGTGGACTATTTTCCTACTTTTAAGGTAATAGTGCCCTATTCTAAAAATAGAATTCGCCTGTGCCCCTAGAAGCAGGCTTTGGTTTTGCCGCAGGGCCTTTAAGTAGTTCCGTAGACCAGAGGCTAGCATATTGGACTCTGGCGCAGAAGACCGGGGATCGATTCCCACCGAGGACAAAATAACATGATTGTTTTTTCAGAAAGGTAAAATGTTTACTTATCCGAATAAAACAATATAAGCAATTAAAATAAACAAATATGTTACTATCAATAGTAAAAATGTTAATTTTTTTTGAAAATACCTAATATTTAG